TTTTAGCTCAGTGGTGAAGTTATCTCCGAGGTTCACCATTCAGCCTGGGAGTGGACAGCCCCGTAAAACCAAATGAGACTAACAAGGTACAGGAGTCCAGTGACAAGGGCAGAAAGCAGAAGGGGACAAGGAAGCTGGTGATAGGGAACCCAAGGTTGAGTAAGGATATTATTGATGTTGTGAGATTGTTAATCATTGTCATAGGGCATCATTTGTAGTAACTGTTAAATGAGAAACTATTTTGTTCTGTAAGCCTTCATCTTAAGTGAGAGTAACAGCACAATTCGAAAAGTGTAGTCAGTGTCACTGAACGGTGCATGTAGAAATTTTTGAAATGGTATATCTTTGGCTATGTGTATTTTCACCAAAAGAAAAAAAAAGAGGTTGAGAAGTTAGAGGTTTAATATGTTGTGGGGTTGTTAACCAGTGTCATAAAATAACATGTGTACTTCTGTTCCATGAGAAACTATTTGTTCTGTAAGCCTTCACCTGAAGTACAATAAAAAAAAAAGAAGAGAATGGTCCTTGCCCTCACAGAGCTCATGGTCTTGGGGGAAGGGAGACAGGACAACAAGCAGGCACAGAACAGCATGATACAGAATATCCTTGTTTGGGTGATAACTTGATGCTTCCACTGGTCCTGTATTCTTGCTGCATTATATTAAGGTTAACTTGTGCACAAGAATAATTGTGCAGTCATAATTTGATAAGATTTAAGGTCATTTGGGAATGCTGTGGCCTTTATCCCAGTGGTCCATCACTGATTCAAAATGACTCACAGTCCTTATAATGCAGCCAGTCATGCTGAAATTGACAGCAGTTCTCCATTCAGATTTGTGAGATGTCATGTTTGGTGGGTAAGTTGGCAAGTATGGATTTTCCTCCCTTCTTACTGAATAGTGAACATTTAGCCTCTGCCTCTGAATCTCTGCACCTGCCACGGGGTGATGGAAATGCTGATTGCCCGAGGCTCTATTGGCACCATTTGCTTTGTCACCTGTCCAGACCTATCTTGTATGTGCACTGATTGTGTTCACAGAGCTGTCAGAGAGCCAGGCCTCCTTTTGGGTACCCTTGGTTACTAACTGAGTCGTTGGTTCATCTTGATCTGGTATCATTCATTCCCACAGTAGTTATTTACTAAATATTTATAGTGTAGAGAGGAGCAAGACAGACCTGTAGGCACTCTCCCAAAAGAAACCAAACTTGTTGCCATCAAGTTGATTCCAACTCATGGCCACCCCCTGTATGTCAGAGTAGAACTGCTCCATAGGATTTTCTTGGCTGTAATCTTTACAGAAACAGATCACCAGGCCTTTCTTCCATGGAGCCTGCTGGGTGGATTTGAACTGCCAACCTTTAGGTTAGCAGCTAATTGTAAACCACTTGCATACCCAGCAAGCAACCGTGTAGGAACTCTGTTACTCTGGACAGGCTAAAGATTTAATACCTATTCAAACTGTTACTCTTTAAATATTTGTTCAAAACATTTTTAAGAGGAGAAGCAAAGCCCCGTATGAAAAACAGATAAGAAAAGAGGCCCTAGACTGCTGACCAAAAGGTTGGAGGCTCAAGTCCATCTAGAGGCACCTCAGCAGAAAGGCCTGGTGATCTACTTCTAAAAAATTAGCCATTGAAAACCCTATGGAGCGCAGTTCTACTCAGATGCACATGGAGTCACCATGAGTCGGAATCAACTCTACAACAACTAGTTTTTACTTCCCCCTTTTGCCAGTTCTCAGGATCCCAACTGACCAAAAGAAAAATAGCAGACTCCTTACCTTTCCTTCCAACCACATTCAGTACCTTCCCTGAGAAAAGTTCTGGTAAATATTATTTTTCTTTTATCTAGTTGAGTTTCCAGACATGGTCCACACCCCATTGATGATTTGCTACACGGCTGCTGCCATAATATCCAGGCCCTTAATCTAGCTCTGGAAAGAGACACTGTGATAGATCCTGGGGATAAAGACAAGTAAGATACTGCTCCAGCCCTCAAAGAACTCAAGGCAATAGCTTGACATGTACTATAGAACAGTATAAAGGAAATATTGGTAAAAATGTTCTAGGAATACAGATGAGGGAGCAGTGAATTCGGCCTGTGGCAATCAGAGGAGGCTAACACATGTGGTTCTGTCTTTTCCGGGGTGGGACAGATGACAAAGTGAGATTTCCCTGTTTTAAGTACATCTAGTATTCATAGTTTTGATGAAATCCAAAACCAGAAAACCCACAGCCATCGGAGTCAATTCACAGCGACCTTATAGGGGAGAGTAGAAAAGCCCCATAGAGTTTCCAAGACTGTAAATCTTTACGGGAAGCAGACTGCCACATCTTTCTCCCTTAGAGCTGCTGGTAGATTTGAACCACCAACCTTTCAGTTAGCAGCCAAGTGCTTAACCACTGCACCACTAGGGTTTCTCTTTGGTGAAATAGGAGACTTTTTAAGTAACCTAAAGCCTTAAACTGTGGAATTGCACAAGATGGGGAGGAGTATGATACTGCATTGATTCTTGCCGTACCTGATCTGCAAAATGAGATCAGATGACTATGCATTTAACAACAGTTCTTTCGACCAGAGCTCCTTGACTTATTGCTAAATCGTTCCTCTAAGATTTTATTTCTCTCTTAAAAGACAGATTCAACCAAACGGAAAACATTCTGATTCCAAAATGTTATAGTAGCTCTTTGCTTTACTACAAAGGAGTTTGTTTTACCAATCCCCACTATCTCCACTGGCCAGAAGGAAATAAGAGCACCTAGACTTCTCAGCTTTCAAAGTGACAGCCCTGGGGCCTTTTGTTTTTCTGTCAGAAAGCTGATTGTCCTGTATTGTTCCTTAATCCTCAGTCACTTGGGAGTCTTTCTTTATGTGGCCAACATTGGGAACCTTCTGAAAAGAGCTCTTATTTGAGAAAGAAGGGAATTCTCAAATGCTTGTCATCTTCAAATTTTCTAGAATAACATTTTTTAGGTCATCTTCGGAATTGACTTTGTTTTTTCCTCTAAGTATTTGTCTTTATTTTCTACATCGTATCTTTTTCTTCCCCCTCCCTACGGAGCTGACTTTTTAAGTTAAAATACACACATCTTGCATCTTGACTCTGGGGAGAGAAAAATGTTTTTTGGGGATAGGGAAAACCAGTTTTGTCACATTCATTAGCATAGCAAGCAGAAGAACCCACTGAAGCCACCGCGTGTCACAGCAGCTGGGTCTATCAGAGTTTCTGTGACAGTCTGCATCCTTTTTTATCCTGCCTAATATGGACTGTTCATTCTGTTCTGAGAATCGTCATTTAGTATTTTCATGTTTCATTCTTCTAGCTTGGTACTTTTGTGTGCTGCTGGAGAGGAAGAAAAGCCATAACTTTGCTATAGTTTCTAAAATTAGTTTGAATGGTTTGGTTTTAGCCTGGATGGAGAAACTGAGCTACATATTGTTGTTCCTTTTGCTTGACAGCAGTGGCTTCACCCAGAGATGACAGGTTGTCATTATGAGAAAGCTTTCATTAAGTCCTACATTTATATCTTCTCAGCACACTGTTCCTCTGCTTTATGTAAATGTTAAATGGGAAAGAGGCATGAAACTGGCTAATAAAACATGTTCGAAAAGCATTCAACTCAAGTCAATCAAAGAAATGCAAAATAAAGCAACAATAAGATCATTTTTCATGTATAGAATTAGCAAAGTTTTTGTTTGTTTTTTAAATAATGATTCCAAAATCTGGTGAGGGTGCTGTTCATATGTTGTTTATAGAAGATAAAATTAATATAATCTTTTTGAGAAATAATTTGATATTATATATGTCAGGGATCTTAAAAATGTCATGCTGTTGACCCAGCAGTCTTACTTTTGAAAGCCTGTGCAAAGGAAAGATATGAACAGAGTACAGAGATGTTTACAGTATTGTTTATAATAAAAAGGTAAAATCTGATTCGGTAGGGGAATGCTTTCATAAACTATGACATATCCACTTATGAACTATTATATTTCCATTACAAATGCTGTCTAGAGAAAAACTTTATAATAACATCAAGAAAATCCAATGATACAAGAGGCAAAAGTACACTGTTCTGTCATTGAATTTTACAATGGCATAATTGTGTAAAACTGGCAAGCCAGCAAAAAAAAAATACAAACAAACTGGAAGGAGAAAAATATGCCAAATATGAAGTCCTCTCCCCACCCCATTTCCCCTATTTTCTATAAGAAGCATAGATGATTCTCCCCATGGGTTTTTCTGTCTTTTTATTTGTAAAATGGGTGGAACTTGAGGAATAAATTTTTAACCTGTGACAGTGATTTGCTTCTCTCTCCGGGTATTAGTTAACAGTGTTTGTGAGAGGTCAGAAGATGATCTCTTTAACAACACTCACTTTAAAAAGAAAAAAAGAAGCTTATCGCTTGTATATTTCCTAAAGTTATTATAGATGTTGGAAATTTTAGAACCACGTAAGTGGATAAATTGTCTTTCAATCCTGGATAAAGTGAGTAAAATATAACAGTATGTTTATGATTTCTTTTTAGGAATTTTTCAAATAGAAAGTAATTGCAGAGTTTCCGGTTGACCAGCATTCATAGGGTAAGATTAACATTCTGAATTATAAACACATGGTAAAGATAATTACAATTAGGTTGGTAGCTTGGGGAAATGAGTACTGAATACTTAGTATGTGAAGAGATTTCTATTTTTACAGACCTTTTGGGTAAAGTCCCTTTGATGTTTTTAAACCATTTTATACACAGAAACTTGAATCTGATACATTTTGGTAAAATGTCCTCTTCCTGTCCTTTGTGAGATTTATGTATAGGAAAGCATATATATGAGTGTATATCTGGTATTTGTCATTTGTTTAAAGTTCTAAGAAATATAACATCTATGAGCAACTTAGATTTCATGTCAGTATTTATCCTGATTTTTGTTTAAGTTAGCATTTGTAATCTCACTTTTGAAAGCCTGTGCAAAGGAAATATATGAACAGAGTACAGAGATGTTTACAGTATTGTTTGTAATAAAAAGGTAAACTCTAACATTGAGTAGGGGAATGATTTCATAAACTATGATACATCCACTTATGAACTATTATACTTCCATTACAAATGGTGTTTAGAGAAACTTTATAATAACATCAAGAAAATCCAATGATATGAGGCAAAAATACATTTCCATAAGTAAACCATGGCCATGCTTTTCTTAAATAGGCAGATCAGAGAAATAAGCAAGCCCACAGAGCCCTGGTGGCACAGTGGTTAAAGCACTCGGCTGCTAACCAAAAGGTCGGCAGTTCGAACCCACCAGCTGCTCTTTGGGAGAAAGATGTGGCAGTCGGCTTCTGTAAAGATTTACAGCCTTGGAAATCCTGTGGGGCAGTTCTGCTCTGTCCTGTAGGAACGCTTTGACTTGGTTTCAACTCAATAGCAGTGGGTTTATGCTCTGTTGCTGCCTGCAAATCATTCCTCTTTCATAGTTAATCTTTATAAGATTTATCTTAAATTAACTGTGTGGCAGAGCTTTTGAGTTTACATAATCAGTAATGAATTTGTACACTGTGTTAAATAGCGGGACTCTTGTCTTGTGAATGTAGCATGTGTCTTAAATGTGTGTCTCGCAGCTCTGAGAGTCCAGGTGAAGCAGGATGAGGACAGTGGATCTGTAACCTACAGCATTCTGAACACCCTTCTCTTTATAGATAGTCACAATCCTTTGACTTCTTGGATATATCTTCATTCCCCTACTGATTCACTGAGTTGACTGTAAACTTTTAAAAGCTGTTATCAACTCTTGCCACTCTTCTACTTGTGACCCATCAGTGCTTATCCATCACTCAAGGAATGTGATCTAAACTCTGCCTTGGCTGCATGCTGTCACTATTCTACTGTCCCCAGACTTATGCCATTCCAGCCAGAGTGTCCTCCTGTCTGATCATCATACATGCTGAGCTTGTAGCTCTTTCTGCCTGGAATGACCTTTCCCAACATCTTCACATGGCTAGTTCCATTTAGATCTTGATTCTAATGGTATTACCTCAAAAGAGATCCCTGTCCATCCAATCAAAAGTAGCTTTATATTCTTTATAGTATTTCTGATCTTATCATGTTTGTATATTTGGTTATTGTGTCTCTTCCCACCCTACAGAGTAAGCTCCATGAGAGCAGGGATCTTGTCTATCACACACACCTGTAATACCCTAACACTTAGAACTCCACCTAGCACGTAGTAGGCATTCTAAATATTTGTTGCATGAAGGACTAAAATCCTGACATCTCTCTGACAAATGCTGCTGTTCAGCAGTATTCTCACCAGTGGTTTTTGGGCATTTTGTTTATTTGGAACCAAATGTAAGACTTACTAGGTTTGGCCTGTCATCCCACTGATTTTGGCAAGGGAATGATAGTATAAGATAGTTATGCCAGCTTTCAAATGCACATGTCTTCTTTCCACAGTAAGATTGTAAATCCCTTGAAAGCAGTGACAATGGAGTCCTGGTGGCTCAGTGGTTAAGAGCTTTGCATCGGCAATTCACATCCACCAGGCGCTCTTTGGAAGCCCTATGGGGCAGTTCCACTCTGTCCTGTAGGGTCATTATGAGTCGGAATCGACTCAATGGCAACAGCTTTGGTTTTGGTTTTAGCCTTGTGTTGTGCCAGGCGCGCTCCATGATTGAGTGCATACGAATGTTAATTTTAGAGAAAGGATTGAGTTTAGTTGCTTAATTTATTTTTAAATGTATCTAGATTGCACTGGTTTGTCTGTCCCAGAGACTAAATCTCTCTCATTTTGATTTGTGCTAAATATATTTATGTTGTTGTGTGTTGTTGAGTCAATTCGGACTCATAGCAACCCTATATGACAGAGTAAAACTGCCCCATAGGGTTTCCTAGGCTGTAATCTTCACGGAAGCAGATTGCCAAATCTTTTCTCCCAATGAGCCACTGGTGGATTTGAACCACCAACCTTTCACTTAGCAGCCTAGCACTTAACCATTGCACCACCAGGGATCCTAAACATTCATATATATGAAATATTCTGAACTATATTTGAGGCTTCACACTCCAAAACCTTGTTTTATTTTTGGCCTACGTGGTTAGAATCAGTGCTGCCAACCTCCCAGTTATTTTCAAATTAGGAGACTTGGCCATAGGCCCATGTTCTGCAGGCGGTCCATGGGTTACAAACGAGATCCATTCCTAACTATGTAAAGTCTTTAAGTCAAATTTGTAGGTGAGTCGGAACAGATGCATACGGTTCTTATTTAGCTTTACTTCAGTGCAAGAAAAGGCTTTTCAGTGATTTAAAAGCTGCATGTGCAGCAAGTGAAAGTGATTGTGACAAAGAATTTGTTGCCAGTAGGGATTGGAGCCCTGGTGGCATGGTGGTTAAGACCTCAGCTGCTAACCAAACGGTTGACAGTTTGAATCCACCAGCTGCTCCTTGGAAACCCTATGGGGTAGTTCTACTCTGTCTTGTAGGGTTGTTATGGGTCGGAATCGACTCAGTGGCAGTGGGTTAGAGGTTGGTTCAGTCATTTCAAAGTGAGGGTAAATTTACATAACGTTAAAGGACAACTACGAGTTGTCTGTCAAGTTGGGACGTTCATAACCTGGGCACTGCCTGTGCTACCGTATGACCCTAGAGAAGCCACTGAAACTCCTCTAGTTTCTTAGTTTGTAAAATAAAGTGGGACTCTTATCCCTAAGGTTTCTTTTAGGTTTAATTAGTCGAGATGATTCTGCTCTTGAGAGAGGTAGGTCACCTGTGGAAGAATTAGGAAAAGTGGAATGAAGGGGACAGTGGTGGTTCGGTGGTAGAATTCTCACCTTCCATGTGTGAGACCTGGGTTTGATTCCCAGCCAATGCACCTCATACACAGCCACCACTTGTCTATTATTGAAAGCTTGTGTGTTGCTATGATGCTGAACAGGTTTCAGCGGAGCTTCCAAACTAAGATGGACTAGGAAGAAAGGCCTGGCAATCTACTTCTGAAAATCAGCCAGCAAAAACCCTGTAGATCGCAATGGTCCAATCCGCAACTGATCGTGGAGATGGCACGGGATCGGGCAGCTTTTCATTCTGTTGTGCATGAGGTCATCAGGAGTTTTGGGGACTGACTCGATGGCAGCTAACAATGACAACAACAAGTAGAATGATAATCTCTGCCATCAGTCTGTCATTTGAGGGGAGAGCATGTGTGATTCACAGGAGACTGCACAGGGTTTGGTTCTACTTTATTTATGGCTTGCCTCCTGGGCAGATCAGGAAAATATTTTAATAAACAGTGAAAGATGGTAGAGAAGGGCTTGAGGTTGCCTTTGAGACTACCTTCTCTCTAAGAATTATCCAGCCACTGGTGCTTATGCTCCAGTGTCAATAGCACATTAATGTAGCTGCAGCTGCTTTCATTTTAAAGGTATTCTAGATAATTTGGTAACTTACTAAAAGCATCAAAGAATTGAGAGGCCTTTTCCTGAAAAGCAAATTACTATCTAAATTAAATACGTGATGTATTCCAAAACTTCCAGAAACAAGGAAAAGTGAATCACTGTTTCTTAAAAGTTCAGAACAGCTCATATTTAATTAGGATTTGTAGAGTTGTTTCCATGGCATTAATTGTCAGTAAGTTTCTCTTCTGGCTTCCAATGGTTAGGATAATTTTCCTAATATTTAGAACACTATGCATGATTGTTTCACGGACTTACTACCATTCTACATCTTTGGGTAAGAAGCTGCAGAATGGTAGTTATAAGTGTCTGTTGTCCTTTAGTTTCTCCGTATTATTTGACCATGTCAGACTCTTTCCTTGAAACTCTTTGGTTTCTGTGCCCAGAAATATCCTGCTTCTCTATCCCCCTGAACTCTTCCTTGCCTGATAATCCTTCCTCATCTGATACGCAAGTAGTCCCCAATTTACGACGAGGTTCCCATTCCAGCGACTCCATCGTAAGTTGGTTCTGACATAAGTCGAATACGTAATTTTTTTTTTTTTTTTTTAGTTTTCCTTATTGCCATAGCCTACTATCTGGTAGTGTTTTGAATAGTAAATCATAACACTGAACATCTGAGAATGATAACATCAGCAAATTGCACACTGCTACATTGTATATAGTACATATTACTAACGATAAGATGTAAAAAAAAAAAAGAAAGGTGGTAAGCGCGGTTCATAGTAACTCGAATATGTCATAAGTTGGGGACTTCCTGTATTATCTAGGAGAGAGAGATTTCTGTTCTTCACTCACTAAATTTTTTTTAAAAAATTAATTCATTTCTATGGCACTGTCTACTACTTGGAGCCCTGGTGACGCAGTGGTTAAGAGCTTGGCTCCTAACCAAATGGTCGGCAGTTCAAATCCACCAGCCACTCCTTGGAAACCCCATGGGGCAGTTCCACTCTGTCTTACAGGGTTTCTATGAGTCAGAATCAACTTGAAGACAACGGGTTATCTACTACTTAAATGCTTATGTCTTCCTATGAGGGATTAAAGATAGCTGCAAGTACTTTGCAAACTCCTCCCATGAAGTGATGGAGTCTGTTTTCCCTCCCTTTGGATCTGGGCTGGCCTTATTTCTTTTTTTTGACCAGT